GTCTACAAATTTGAGTTTTTTTGTCATAAACAGGGTACCCCTTTCAGAATCCCAGCGGAACACCCCTACCCAAATCCTGGCAGAGTACCCCCCTGGGAATAACTGTTCTTTAGTATTTTTACAAAAGTGAATAAAATAAATCTGGTGCACTCATTGGTCACAATTTACATTTTGTGCATGTTGTTATATTCGCCCACAGGTTAATATAGCAGTGAAGGCATTTTTGAAAAATGGCCACCAGCTGTTTTGTCGACTAAACAAAACTTTTTCTCCATTAATTAATAAATTCACTTGTGTTAAAAAATACTAAAACAATAAATTTTGAAAAGACACTATCAGGTTGAAGGGTGTTTTGGGGAAACAAATAATAAAAAATAAATAAGTTTTTTCGATTTGTTGTAAAATGTGATTACAATTAGGCAGCACATTTTCCTTGGTTTAAGACCACGAGTGTTGTTGATGGGCAATAATTAACTTGTGGGGGAAGGGGGTGGTGGGTTTTGCTTGCTAACCCTTATGAGAAATCTGACCCCATGAATGTAACCTGAGTTTCAGGCCCAAGAGGAGGGGAAGGATATAGGGCCATAAATCTGAAAGGTTTTGGATTTTCAAATTTACAGGGAGGTCTTCTGAAATGGTTGGTCCTGGCAGTCATCGTTCAGGTTTGTATACTGATCTTTTAATAAAGTAGATCATATTATAATTACATTGAGAATGCGCATACTGTACAGTATATTACTAGAGATGAATTGCACCAATAATGTAGCACAGAGATGGCTCAAAGATGCTTCTCCCAAATTTCATTGTGCAAGCTTTATTTTTACTGTGTTGTTTACTTAGTAAATCCAAAAGTCCCTTTCACAGTTTCCTCTGCCATCTTGAAAGGTACCGTACTTGTGCATCAAAGTGAGAATGGCAGTGATATTGTAATGATGGAGACATATGAATGATTGGCGAACTCTCGACCTCAAGTGTGAACTACACAGCAGTGAGAGACAGCAGCGTAGCAGCGCTATTGCCACTCATGAAAACACAACCCACCTGATTGGAAGCCTGGTTGGTTACTATGACAACTGTCAGTTTTGATTCTAGCCCAAAAAACTCTAATAACTCATTATATTTTTAGCAGCACTGACTGAATGCCCAGAGCCAATACAATGCATCTGGAAAACAAGTATTGGAGAGGCACCCCATGCAGTCCACCTAAAGACAAAGTTAAAAATCCTGCTTGATCCTCCAAGGCCCTTGGGAGGAGACATCAAGTCTCTTGCTGATGCCTTCGGGTACACTGGTATACAAATACATTACTTGACAACAATACGAGATCAGTCAGCAACTGAACAACTGTTGAGTGCTGAAGGACACCACAGTATTGAACATCTTCTGGACAAACTGGATTCCATTAACAGAGAGGATGCTGCTGGAGAGATTAGAAAATACATTAGGTTGCAGAAGTGCAAGTGTGAAGGTTGTAAAAACGAGCTTTGTTGATTTTAACTATTTTGACTGAGTTTTATTGTATGAAGAGCTATACAAGCACAAGAGAACAGAAGATTTTGTTTTGCTTGTGGTAGCTTGTGCTTGTACTTATGCTTGCATTGGCTTGCGTCACTAGTGAGAATGAAACTTAGAGGGATGAAGATGACTGGGCATATTGCATATTTATACAATGGTTTGAGTAGTTGCATACCATGAAAAATTGCACATTGAGGCCTTTTGTATTTTCTGGTAGACTGTTGTATGAGCCATCAGGAGTGAAGGAAATTGAAAGAACAATATTAATTAATCAATTAATTAATCAATCAATTAATCAATCAATTAATATTAATTAATCAGTGTTTAAAAAATGGTGTTTTGAAAATGACACTGGTCAAAAGATCTACTAACAAAAGGTTAATTACAGTCAAAATAGCTCAACCTTACCCCCCCCCCTAGATTCCATTATTGGTTTCATTATTTGAATAATGAAATTTATTATTCTTTCTGAGAATACAAAGATTCAGGATTCAAAATAATAAACGATCCAAAACTCTAATTCCAATCGGATTATTCCATATGAGGAACACCATAATCCTATCAGAATTCGAGTTTTGAAAGGGTTATTATTTTGAATCCTGAATCTTTGTATTCTCAGAAAGAATGATAGATTTCAATATTCAAATAAGGAAAACATTAATGGATCTAGGAGGGTAAGGTTGAGCCGTTTTGACTATAAACTGTGCAAAATTATATTCCTGAAAGGAGAAAAAAAATTATATATATGTATACATAACCAATGCAAAGGTAGATTTCTAGAATATAATGGTAAAATAAGAAGTAATCATAGATAGTTTTTATATACCTTTGCAATACACTTTAGCTTATTTAGTGCTATTACACTCTAGTTCTTTTCTTTTCTATTGTGTTTATCCATGAATTAGAGTGCAACAATTAATCTGTGAAACACTAATCACTAAA